AAAAAGGGATGTCACTTTCCAACATCTTTTTCAGAAGCAAGAATTCATCAGACACATATATAAATACATTGTATAATACATCATACAAGACTCATAGGCTGTACAGAGTGAGTTAAACACAATAGAGTATGGATATAAATTGGATATACTATTAATTTATTAGAAAGGATAGAAAGGTAAAATCATAAGAAAGAAAACCTGCAAACTGTCATGGGTTCAGATGAGGTCATGTGTATTTTGATGGAGTTATCAAGAAAGGATTTATGGAATTATTAGAATTAAAAAAAAATAAAAACCTCAGGTGTAACTTATAGACAGCAGTAGGAAATGCAACTCCAGTGTTTATTATTTTTAAGGATTTGGTGTCCAAAGTGCTTAGTGGGAAAAAAAAGAAAATTTAGTGGTTGAGTTGTAAAAGGAAAGTTACATGTCTTATGTTATTACTTGATTAATGCATTCACTTCTGATGTTGGTTTTAGGTGGTTTCATTTCATACTAAGCAAGTGCAGATATTTTTTCAAGACTCAGGAATCTCTGTCCTTTATACTTGGTACTTCCATTGTTCTCTTTTCTAATGTTCATACTAATGATTTTTTTCCTGCAGAAACCTGAAAATACCACAAGCCAACCACCTTCTAACCAGCAAGTTGTAGAGGTGGCGATTCCCCATTTAGGGAAATTCATGATTGAGTCAAAGGAGGGGGGTTATGATGACGAGGTACCTTTATTGTAGACCTCTACACTATTCCTACTTATCTTTGGCTATTTAATACACGTACTTCGGGCATGCGTGCGCCTTCACATTTGTGTGTATTGCTGCATAACATACAGCTTGGCCACCTATGGTCTGGAATTACCTTACCAACTGCTAACAGAACTTTGAATTTCAAATGAAAATTTAAGTAGAAAGCTATGGAATTTGTCAAAAGAATAATGTTTCTAGAGTTAATTCTTTTATGTAGATATATGATCAGTTTATTCTCAGGTTGATAGATTACAATAAGGGTTGTTTAATTAAATAGCAAAAAATTTGAACATTTAAAAATAATTTTTTCCTGTTTTACTTGAATTATGTATTATAATACTTTGCCAACTATTTCCTGCCAAAAAATCCTACAGCCTGATTGCAAATAGATGTTGGATATTTTTGCTTCTGCAACCTCCATGTGAATGTGAATTGAGCGATTCATCATTATTGAATGCCTTCCAGTGCTTTATACACTGTTCTTGAGAATCCAGATAAAAATGTGCTATTGTCCTTTTGCACTTTTTTCTTAAGACTCTTACATTGGATCTTTCTTATATTTGAGAGAGGGCCAGTAAAGCTGTTTCTGAATAGTAATCCCTAGAAGACCTTGAATTCTGTCATTTGTTAGTTTTTACTGGCATGGATGAGAATTTAATATATATTAATTTTTTCCAAGTAACTTTTTTTCAGACTTATTTCAAAATTACAATTAAGTGATTATATAAGAGTTAATCACCGAAACCAGAGGTGTCACAAAGACATTAAGATTACTGTGCCAATGTAAGAAAACATGGGCCATAAGGAGAATAAGAAGCTGGTTTATGAGATAGGAACTGGTGAGATGAATTTTCTGAAGCAGATGTTAGGTATATTGTGACTGTCAGTGTATAATCAAAATTTGGGTGATAGGTTCAGTGAATCAGAGGTGATGGATGCAATCTCTTGATTGCTCTAATACAATAACTTCATAGTGCTTTGAGTAGTTTCATTTTGCAGGTATTTTAAAATGCAAACAGCTAAGAATGATAAGCTGTTATGAAAACAAAGAAATATTTAAGTATTTGATATTTAATAGCAGTACATTGTTCCAGTTAACTATTTCATTACCATGTTGCTGCTTGAAAATTATGGAAACTGGCATTTTTTAATAAAAATGTTCATTTATTGACCAAGCACCTCAGTGCTTGTTTTAGGGTAAGCCTTCTGGCATTTTAAAATTTAGAATTGTGATTAATCATTTAACACTGTCTTTTGTGAAAATGCTTATGCTATTGGCAGAGATGCATTTTGTTTTGTTTTTGTAATTGGAGTGACGGTTTAACAGTGCATGTACCTGGGAACTTTAAGTCATGTGGATACAGGGCTGCAGCTCATAGATGTTTAGGTTGTACTGTTGTGCAAGGGAGCCCAGCCAGCAGGCCAAAGTGGAGGTGAAATGGAGCTCATGCTGAGCTCCTCAAACCTTAAAGAAGCACTTTTTTAAATAAAAAGTGTTGCTTGTTCTAAGTGGTTCTCAGAGAGCAGCACTTTTTGATTTGTTTGTCAAGAGGGAGGTGCCTTTTTAGAATTCTTCAGTTCAGAGAGGATGCCTTTTTGCAGTTTGCACAAAGGCACCATCTGGAGCTAGCTGTGGCCCTGTATGGATGATTTTGAAAGATACTTTCATGCATATCGGATCATATTTGCCATAAAATATACAATGGTTAATTTATAAGTAGTGAAAAACAAAGGACTTTTAACTTGCATGTCAATATATTATTTGGTTTTTGATATATATTTTTTTATGTTAACCATTCATTCAAAAACTTACTTTAAATTCCTTGTGGCAGATCATGATGACACCGAACATGCAAGGTATTATCATGGCGATAGGTAAATCCAGGAATGTATATGACAGGTGTGGCCCTGAAGCAGGGTTCTTTAAGGTACAATTAACATTTTCATTTAAGTTTTTAATGTTTTTAAATGAACTTCTTAAAATATTTTATGTCCTTGAATTAAATTTGGTTATATAATTTCTCTTTTCCTATCTTAGCCACAGCCACCTAATGTTCTGAGGGTTTCTTTTATGCATATAAGAATGATTTTTTTTTTTTTGGTAACCCAGATAATTCAACAAAAAACAAAACATTTTACCAGAGTTACCCTAATAGTGTACCTTTGGGTTGTTAGCAGAAATTTGAATTGTGTTTTTATTTGAAAGGAATAAAAAGTATTGATGAGTGAAAATAGGAACTGAGTAATTGCTTCTGGTATATTTTATTTTCTTCTCATTGGTAATACTATTTGTCAGTATTACAATATTTTTTAAGAAATTTCACTATCATTTGATTCTAAATGGCTTTCTTCACTTGGTTGTTTCAAAAATGATTTGTTCATTTATTTTTATGTTTCTTATTCACTTATGTTTTCTCCTGACTTAATTTTTAATATCCTAGTTGTTTCAAGAAATGTGTGAGGCCATCAAGCAGTTGTATTATTCCATAACCAAATCTTTTTTCCCCTCTAATGATGTGAAAATGTTGGGGTTCAGGGGAGCAAACGGTCAAGAAAGAATTCTTGAGACGTCTTTGGTGCAGAAAAATGGTTTTATTAAAGCACTGGGACTGGACCCGTGGGCACAAAGAGCTGCACTGGGGTCATGAGTGGCCCATTGTATACTTTCAAGTTGGGAGGTGGTTAGGGATAGAGCAAGTCTCTAAGGAATTTAGAAGCCAGGTGTCCAGGACCTTGAGGGGCTAGCTGTTTGGAAAAGATCAATTATCACCATCTAGTAAAACCTTAGTCATGAGACCCTTCAGATGTATATCAGAGGACGGATATGCTTGGAGGATGATTGCTAACATATATTTTGGTGGCGGATAGGGGTTAGAGATAAAGGAATTTTTATATATTAAAGGAGACTTACAGGATCCTGGAGATCAGGCTAATGTGAAGATAAGGTTGCCTTAGACCTGAGTCAAGTATTAACATCGAGGCAGTTGAGTTCCTAGAGGGAAGGCCATGCTGCTTGTCTCAAGGGCTTGTCAATGAGTGGGCTGTAAGTTGTAAGGAAATTTAATTTTTTTTTCTTTTGCCTTTGTTCTCCACATCATCTAATACCAGATCTTTACAATATTTTAGTTACAGTATTATTGGTTTTACATTTTTGAAAGATGAAAGCACTGTTATGTTTTGTCTTTTTATTTTGATTTACCAAAAACTTCAAGTTGTTTTCACTTAGCACCCTTTTTAGTGTTTTTTTTTCCCTAAAAAAACAAAAAGGCTTTATTGAGGTATAGTTCAGTACAATAAGCTGTATGCTCCCTTTCTTGACCTTAAAAATCTAAAATTTTCCCTTAATATTCTATATTCTGCCCTCATCCAACTCAATCTTCAAAAAGCTGCTTATTTTCACTATTTCTTTTCCTTCTGTAGTACAAAAGGCCTTGTGCATAGTAGCCTTATATTAATAAAACACTTTTGAACTTGTTAGAATCAGAGTGACCATCCATCTTGGTGTGCCCAGGACTGAGGGGTTTTCTGGAATACAGGATTTTAAGTGCTAAACAAACTGGTCCCAGGATGAGTTGATCACGCTATTAAGTTAAGAAAGGTTGAAAAACTGCTGTTATTGAAAAAACAAAAAAAAAAAACAAAACTCGGTTAACCTTATTTCCAGGTGGTCTGCATTTTCTTTTCTTAAAATACACATGATGAATGTATGTCTTCTAAAGTTTTTATCTATTTCTCGTGGGAAAATTATCTGTCATTTATAGTGACATTGTCATTTTTTTTTTTCAAGTTGGATATCTTTATGTTGAATTGGGAATTTCACGTTTTTTAGATTAATACCTGCATATAGTGTAAAGAGCCAGCTAATTATACCCGCACACACTGTAGAGACCCGCTGGCTGAGCCGGGCAGCCCCAGCCTGGGCCCTGACTCCCGCCGCCTGCTGAGGGGCAATAAACCAAAAGCAAAGTCGCCTCCCAGTCCTTTTGTGGGGCGCGGCTGGGCGCCTCCGGGGCCCTGTGGGGGTGGCGATGAAGAAAAAGAGGAGTTTGGAAAGGGTAGGGGAGCGTAGGCCGCTCATGCAAATAACAGGCAAAGCCGCTTGCAAATAACCGGGCCGAGCGCAAAGGCGCGCGAGTCTTTCGGGGCCGCAGGAGGAGCTGCAGGGCTCCGGCGAGGAGAGGGTTAAGCCCAACTCTTCTCCCGCCCTCGGAGGAGGGGTCGAGCTGCAACGGAAATAACCGAGCGCCGGGCCGCGGTTGGCCGGAGGGAGCCGAATCTCTTCCGGAAGTAGCCGATCTCTGGGGTCTCGCTCTCCGACCTGAGTCGAGGGCCGGGCCTTGTTCTCCGGATCGGCCGAAGGTGTTCCGGAAGGAGGCGAACCCCGAGGCGGGCAGGGCAAGCCTTCCCCGCGGCCGGCAGAGCCCAACATCTGGTGGGGCTCGGCGAGCGGGGAGGGGGGAGCCGGAGCCTGGCTCCGGTCCGGCGGGAGCCGAGCTCGTTCCGGAAGAGGCCGAGCGGACCGGCGCTGGCCTCGGCGTCCCGGGCTTGAGGTGGTAGCGGCGGCGGCGACAGCGCGGGCCGGGATGAACCGCGACGGCTGAGGCGGCGGAGGTGCCGGCTGCGCGGCCCCGACCGAGACTTCCGCGAAGCGCCAGCCCCGCGCTTGGGGCTTCGCTTCGAGCCGAGCCCTGCCCCCGCGAGCCTCCCGGACCCCTTTGTGCGTCCAGAGGCGGCGGCGGGAACGGCCATGGCGGCCAACATGTACCGGGTGGGGGGTGAGTACCGGGCGCAGGGGCTGCGGGGTCTGGGGCGGGAGAGGTCGGGGTCCGGGGCCGGAGAGGCTCGGCACCCGGCAGTGCGGGGAGCCGCGCCTGGGGCGGCGTGGTCCCGAGCGCGGACCGGAACCGGAACCGGGAACATGGGGAGCGAGGGCGCGGGGAAGGCGCCGCGGCCCCGGGAGAGGCTGCGGGCAGCCCCGACGGCACTCTCAGGGTTGCCTCGGGGGCCCCTGGGTCGGGGAGCGGGGCCTGGGAAAGTGGTTCGGAGGGAACTGACAGGGCAGGCAGGGGGCGCGGGGGGCCGGGGCGACCGCTCTGCCACCTGAGCGGGAGCCGACGGGAGGTTTCCTCCCCCCGGGCGTTATTGTGCGCCTGGGTTCTACAAGGTGAGGGCCCTGCGCTGGAGTCAACAATTGCTCGCTCGGCCGAGACTGGGGTGCACCTTCACTGCTGAGTTGTGGGGACTGCAGGGGGACCCCCTGCTTCTCGTGTCTTCCTTAAGGCTCACTTTTGAGTGAGGGATTTGATAAAAGAACTAGGTGGTCAGGGGTGGTGGTGGGGGAAACCCCTTGTTTTCTCGTAGTCTCTCCACTTCCACATTTCAGCGTTCTCTCTACCTGGACCCTTATCCTTTTGGTCCTTTCGGGCCTACTTTTCTCTCCTACCCTGGTGCTCAGTTTTTTCCATCTCCTCCTCTGATCTTACCGATGCCTCCCCACCCCCTCCTACAGATTATGTCTATTTTGAAAATTCTTCTAGCAATCCTTACCTGGTTAGACGGATTGAGGAGCTCAACAAGGTGAGTGGAGCAGAGTCCCACCCCTGTCCTGTCCTGCCTCCCCTCTCCCCCTCCTGGGGGGTCTTTTTTCTTCTGAGGTCACTAACTTCAGGTGGAAGCCAGAGGGGTGGGGGTGGGGAACCAACCCTATCCTAAGTGCCCATTCATATTCATTCATTCATTCATTGGATGTATTCAGGAAAGGCTTTTGAGAGTTGAGTGGGAACTTTCCTGGTCTATCTCTTGGGGGCTAAGGAAAGGGACAGTCTGGGGAAAAAAAAGTTTGGAAGTCTGTCCTTAAGTGTAAGTCTCTTTATCCATAATTTCTTGGGTTTTTCTACTTACACCCCTTAGAACCTTATTCACTGTTGTTAGTTTCTTCTTTATATGTTTCCACCTTTAAATGACCAATTTTTACTGCCATTTTTTATCCCCTTAGACTGCAAATGGAAACGTGGAGGCAAAGGTTGTGTGCCTTTTCCGGCGAAGGGACATTTCTAGTAGCCTCAACAGCCTGGCTGATAGCAATGCCAGTGAGTGTCTTCGCACCCCCACCTCACCCTCACCCCCCCCCCC